TGTGGCCCCTTGATGCAATCAAGAGACAAAGTAAACACAGGATGTAAGGTACAAGCTGCTGCAACAGCAACATAGCATATTGTTTTACAATAAACTCTTCTTTCTTAATAAGTAGTACTCCTTAAAATAATGATAGGAAGTATAGAAAAGTAAGTATATAAACCAGTAGTATTTATTATCATTATTAAATATCCTCTACCATACATAATTTTGTGCGCTGTACTCTTATACAACTGTCAGCACAGGTTTGTTTATACTGGCGTAACCACAAACACATATAATGCATTGCCATATGACATGATGGATCCGATGTCACCAGAGATAGGAACTTTCTAGCTGCATTTATAATTGTATGAGACCACTGTTCTGTATGTACTTAACTATATTTTGCACTCCCTACCTGAATCCAAATAGATGGGATTAAATGAGATAGCATGACTAAAATGAATATAAGATTGATTCCTATTATATCTAAAATCATCTCTTAGGAAATCAGTCCACTCTACTGCCAGTACATATTACATATCAAATCAGTATTTACGAGTATACAAAAAATTCATTTCAAAAAGTAAGAAAATTTCTTAAAGGTTAAAAAAGTTATACTGCTTTATAAAAATACTTACATATTTAAAATACAATATCATGTATGTGTTTTTTCAGAGTTTTCCTATTTATCTGAGTTTTTATATTGTAACCACAACCAACTCATGCTAGTCAAATCCAGATGCATAAGCTAATCTGTTAAATAGTATCAAATGTTTATACAATTTATTTGGTAATAATGGCTTGTAGCCTGACTGGCTGACACCTTCAAAAGAATAAATGAAAGAACTGATCTAGAGGTGGCATGTACTGGTCCCTAAAACAGCTCTTCATATAGCAATTTTACTATCCATTATGCTGCTTTTCAGAGGCAGAGTCATATATGTGCAATTTAATATAACAAATGATGAATATCACTGATGAACACGTGCTTGCAAATCAATAAGTGAAATATTAGAAGCCCAATGGGAAAAAAAGGCATAGGACATCAGTAGGCATAGAATACAACTGGAAATGTGTAGAAACACAAATGGAAAATAAAATGTAAAAAAATGTTTAAGGATATCACTAATAAATAAATGTTAAACTGTTATAACTTTTTCCTTGTGAAATTGGCAAAGATGAGGCTGGTTATGTGACTGTGCTTTGCATGAGACAGACCCTGGGTTTGATACCTAGCAAAGATGAAAATGGGGACACCTCAGTATTGGTAATAACATGAGCAAAGTATAACCTTTCTGGTGGATGCCCTAGCAGTATGTACACATAACGGTGCTTTCACGTTTATACTCAGCAATTTCATGTCTACAAAGTCATCCTAAAGAAATAATCCGACTCTGAATCTGAACTGAAAAAGTTATTCTCTTGAGACTATGAGTAGTTTTTAAAAAGTAGAAAAGAAAAAAAAAATATCTAACAAAAGGTTGGTTAAATACACAACAGTAACTCATCCATGCCTGAAAGACATTAAAAAGATAATGTAGGGGCTAAGGCATAGCATGGTGACATGTTGAGAGCCACAGTTTAGTCAGAATGACACCTGGCATTTTTGCCAGAGGGAATGGTTGAAATGTGACCCTGCTCTGGGATTAGGGCGGATCCTGCTGGGATTAGGGCAGATCCTGCTGGGATTAGGGCGGATCCTGCACCGGTGAGAGTTCTGGAATAAAGGTTGCTGTTTGAACCTACAAGGCTGTGTGACTTGGTTATTTTGTGCTCAGTCAGACTGCAGCAGTGGCACAATGCTGGCCTAGCATGCACAAGGCCAAGGTTCTATCCCCACACCACAAAAAATAAACAATAATAATAAATAAAATATAAACAAATAGGGCTGGAAATATAGTTCAGTGATAGAGAATTTGCCTAGCATACATGAGGTCATGGGTTCAATCCCCAGTACTGCAAAATAAATGATAGTTTTAGTTCTGAAAATGAAAGCTGCTCCATATATAAGCTGTATCATAAAACACTGAATATAATCTCATTTTTCTAAATAAATGTGTTTAGACATATTCATTTAGGTCAAGGGATAGCAATATAGCTCAGTGATTGAGCATTTGCCTAGCAGGTGTGAAGCCCCAGGTTCAATCTCCAGCAACTAACAATCTCTCTCTCTCTCTCTCTCTCTCTCTCTCTCTCTCTCTCTCACTCACACACACACAGTCAAGAAGAGAGGCTGACAAATCTTTTTATGTGACAGATCAGTAAATAAATCTTTTAGGTTTGTGGGTGATATATATGGTCTGTCAAACTTGCTCCATTACCCTTATAATGGGAAAGCAGCCACAGACAATATGTAAATAAACATGAGTAACCAATTCTGATAAAACACTAAAATTTGAATTTCACACAATTACTATGTGTCACAAAATAGTCTTTAAAGGAATTTTTTTTTTTTTTCAATCACTTACAAATGAAAAAAAAAAAATGCTCATGGCTCTAGTTCATACAAAATGGGTCTCAGGCTACTTTAGGCCTCAAGCTATGGGAAGTCAACCCCATGTCTAGAATATACAGTAAAGCATCATCAATGGATATCTTTTGAAGATGGGATTACAGTGTCATTTTTTTTAATTACTTAATTTTGTGATTTCTATCAATAGAACAAAATAAAAAATCAAATATCTGAGTAATGAATAGAAATCAACATGTTGAACAGCAGTGATACAGCAAGACTGCCCAAGAAAACAAACTGTGGAAACTGAAGTTTATCAGTACTTCAGTATCTACTGTACTATGCTGTCTCCCCCGGCCCCGCTTTTTCAGGCTATTTGCTTTCTTCATTCCTTTCCTTATGTCCATAAATTCACCAGTTACCCACATCTATTTCTTTTATGTTCATCAATCACGTCAGCCCAATAATTCTTTCACATCTCAGGTAAAGTTATGTTTGACAGTGCCAGCTCAATAGCTTCCAATGAAATAACCTTGAACACTTCCATGTTCATTAAGTTAAACTCCTTAGACATGGACTCAAGCTCCTTCACAAGCAATCTGACCTTACTCTGAGAATTCTGAATCACTCTCTTATGGTAGGAATCCTAAACTTCAATTAATTAATTACTTTATTTATTTTTGGACTGGGAACTAAACCCCAGCAGTTCTTTACCATTGATCACACTATTTCCCCTGACCTTTCTATTTTTTTGAGACAGGGTCTCCCTAAGTTGGTGAAGTGGGCCTCAAACTTGGCACTCTTCCTGTTTCAGCCTCCCAAATTGGTGGGATTACAAGCAAATACCAAAGCACCCAGCCTAAACTTCAATTTAACAGGATTATTCTACTGTGCTCTGAATAAGCCACCTGTCTCTTGTAGTTCTTTATTCCTCTTATACTATTTACTTCCATAATAGCCATGTTCAACTAATGTAATATTGGGAAAATGAGGGATACAGATGAAATAACCACTATGAATACCCAGTATTTGCCATGTGCTAAAGAAATGGTAGGGATTATGCATTTATGTACATTTCCCCTATTTCTTTCCACTTTAATGGCAAGAATAAAAATACAATACTTGTATTTGTTAAACTATGTTTATGAACTTTATTAATAACCTCAAAGTTAATTGTATTAATCATTTACTGTTTAAAAAAAAACACACAAAAATACCTCTCAATATTGTTTTGTACTCACACTTCCAGGTTATTGTCCCACCCCCCATTACAGATTTGTTGCTCACAAGAAATAACATAAGTTTCATCAGTAACATCAGTTTCCTATTCAACTCTTAGGATATTGGGTTAAGGTTAAAGAGCAAAATTTTTGCAAGGAGAAAGCCCAAGAGTAGCCCTCCTGAATTCCAGCCCTCCCCTTTCAGTAGCATAATTTTTAGGCAAATTAACTTTTTCTCCTCAACTGTAAAATGAGGATAACTCCTATTTCATAAGACTGTTGTAAAAATTATACGAATTGGTGGAAACAATTGTACAGGGCTTCATACATAGTAAGAATTCCATAAACAGAAATTAGCAATATAATTATTACTGCTTAAAGCATAACGTTAATGCCTAGATTATTTGGTACCTTTGTTTCTGGTGATTTTGAGAATCTGAACACAGGATTGTGAAACCTGTAGTACATTCTTGTAGTACAACTAAATTAGCGGTGTTCATACTTTTTAATGTGTGCCTTATTTTACTCAACTTCTCTAAAAAGTAAATGGTTGGAGATAAAGTGTAACTATTGATCATGAAAAAAAGCGAATACATAAAAGAGATGAAATTATATACGGCATATACATACTTCAAAACAACCCGGAGAGGGAACAAGAGTGGCCATAAATTAATAATTACTGAAAATGGGCGAAGCATACATTGAGTTCTTCATATTATTTGCTTAACTTTAGTCTGAAGATTTTCATAATTTCTTAAAACGCTCAAAGGCCTACTTCTCTAGGGCTTCATGCAAATTCTGGGCATGGTCAGGGAAATACATATTGGAAAGTCCTGGGAGGCAAACAGTGACACCGCAATGCAATCCAGGTGTAGCCGGTTAAACCTCCCAGGCAGAACCCCGGGTATGCTCCTCCCCTGGAGTCCGCGAGGCTGGCTCCACGAGGCCCGGGAGAGGGCACAACACAGAGGGGAAACGCCGCCTGGCGGCCAGCACGGAAACTGGGGTTCCCAAGACCGTCAGGAGACGGGGGAGGGGCAGGAGACGTGGGATAGGTGGGTGGGTGAGAGAGTCCCAGTCCAGTGGGCGAGGCGACTTCTCTCAGCTCCACCGAAGCACCCGGCCCACCAAGGCTCTCGGCACCGCCCGCTGTCTAGGACATCACTGCCTCTCTTCGATCCTGGAGCAGACGCCCAGCCGGCCTATGAAGCCCGCCGGCCTCCCAGACCCGGGTTCCTTCAGCTCCTGCCCTGTTACCGCGGCGTCCCACCGCCGTCAACCCCTGGGCCGCCTCATTCCCCACCCCTTGCCAACCGTTTTTCCGAGTCCCCAGACTCACTTACCTCGGCCGCGCGGCAGCCAGCACCTTCTCCTGCTACTCCGGCGTTCAGATTGGCTGTCCCGGGACGTTGCTGTCAATCAGCCAATCCCCGCCCCGAGCCGGGATCAGGCTGACCAATTAACTGTTTGTTCCGGCTCGGAGGCGGGCTCAGGGAGCCGCGGGCGGAAGGTGTGGCTACCACCTCCAGCGCCGGCAGCCACCTTTCCCCGTCGGTGTGCGCACGCGCGGGAGTCCGTGATGGGCGTGTGCTTTCGCCAGGCCTTGGCTTTGTGTCTTCACTGCTCCGCCCTGGGAAGTACTTTTGTTTGTAAACGTCGTGCTCTAGGTGTGTAGGAAGACCCACATTCTGAAGGTAACCGCAAGTGTGTATTATGCTGTGAGTCAGTCCTAACCTGTGTTGCACTTTTCGTCCCATGCTGTGGGGACTTGGTTTCACCCGGCAGATCTTTATACTGCGGACTTCACGTCCGGGGTGCCTTTCTGTTTGGGAGGAGTAGGAGAGGGGGTTTGCCAAAGTGAATGAAGATTTTTACAGTACTTCCTTCAGGTCCAGTGTCTATGTAGTATGGCTCATTGGGGTACATGGTTCTTAAATACCTAATCTTGTCCTGAAAATATGATCCTTCAGCAAGGAAATGTGTTTAGGAGTGATAAAACATTAACATGTAGAAGACGACTATCTGTATTTCTTTTTGGCTTTTCAAGAGGCTGTTGCTGATTGGCTGTCTCTCTTACCCTCCCATTGCAGTTGATCCAGGAGGTTACTGGGTAGGTGCTTGAGCTCAGAAGTTCTTGCCCTAAGTGAGTCAAGTCTTCCTACCCAAGGAATTCCCTCCTTCAGCAAGAACTTTAAAACATTTACCCAACAAGGGCTTATTGGGAGCCTATTATGACAGTACAAATATATTTAAAAAACAAAAATCCTTGAACCATGCCTAGAGTGAGGCTACAGGGTAATTTGGAGATAAAAACACAAATTTAAGAAATGTGATCACATGTTATGATGGAAGTACAAAGGGTCCTAGGAGACTCGTCTGAGCTTACTGGTGGCTTAAGGAACATTTCAGGAAGTAGTGGATGCTTGATTTGAGGCTTACTGAAAAAGCAAGAGCTGAGCTGAATGAATGGGGGGTGCAATAGACAGTCGTGTTTCTGGCAAAGGACACTTGTTTCTTCTGAGATACTTCTAAGGTGGATTTACTGCTAAGTTAATGCATGTGCTTCAGGGCCCTGACTTTCATTTGCTCTTTCCATGGCCCAAAGGGGGACCTTGGTACCAAGTTCACATGGTCATATGTTGTCTTTACTTTTTTTTTTTTTTTGGTACTGGGGACTGAACCCGGAGGTGTTTAACCGCTGAGCCACATCCTCAGTCCTTTTTTTTTTTTTTTTTTTTTGAGACAGAGTCTCACAGAGCTGCTTAGGGCCTTGCTAAACTGCTGAGGCTGGCCTCAAATTTGTGATTCTTCTACCTCAGCCTCCTGAGGCTCTGGGATACAGGCATGTACCACCATGACCAGCTTGTCTTGTACTTTAAAAAGAATGTGTCCAAATAAAGTCCAGTTAACACCTGTTTTTCCTTTCCAGCTTCCCTTCTTTCACACTTCCCTTTGTCTTAAGTGCCCTTGGAGTGGCCCTGAACATTTTTGGAATCTGGACCACTTCGCCATAAGTTATTGCTGTCTCTCCCAATAATGGAATGACTTTTAGGAATTCTCCTAGTCTAGCTGTATACCATCTCACTCAATGCTGGGATACAAATGGACTGTCATAGTTGTTTGACACTGAAAGTATGTGGCTAGTGAAGGAAAAAAGAGGGTTTGAAATGTGTTGAGCTAGAAGCTAATGTATGGGAAAATCTTCCAGTCATCACACTTAAAGTTACAAACAGGATACTTTGCCTTTTGTTTTTAGTAAACTTATTTTAGATTCGCAGAAAAATCGCAAAAAGAGTGGATGAAATTCCTTTGTACCCCTCATCTATTTTCCTTTAATGTTAGCATCTTATATTACTGGAATACATTTATAAAATGAAGCAACCAGCATTGGTACATTATTATGGACTATACTGCACACTTTATTTAGATTCTACTAATGTCCTTTTTCTCTTTCAGGATCATATCCGAGATGTCACATTTCATTTAGTCATCATGTGTCCTTAGTCTCCTCTGGTTTGTGAAAATTTCTTACTTTTTTGTTTTTCATGACCTTGATATAGCTATGACAGGTTTGGGTATCTGCTCAGATATTTTGTAAAATGTCCCACAGTTTGAGTTGCCTGATACTTTGCACATAATTGGACTGTGATTATAGGGTTTGAGGAAAATATAGTGAGATGCTTGTTTCATCATATAATATTAGCATAGTTTAATAATGATATTAACTTTTATCATCTGATCAGCATCGTGTTTGCTAGTTTCTCCACTATAAAGTTGCGTTTTTTCCCCTTTCCATATTCTTGCCCTTGACAGCAAGTCACTAAATCCTGCCCACTGTCAAGGAAGTATAGGATTAAGCTTCGACTCCTGAAGGGTAATATCTATACATTATTTGGAATTCCTCTATAAGGAAGATTTGTCTCTTCTTCCCATTTATTTATACTCAGTCATTTACTATAGCTTCTTATACGTTTATTTATATGTCATTTTATATTTATACTATGATTTTTATTTGTTGCTCAAATTGTTCCAGATTTGGCTACTGGAAACTCTTTTAGGTTGTCTTGTGTGTCCTTTTTGTCTTTTGATTACCTCCTTTTTTCTAGATCTACAGGATGCTCCAGGCTCATATTGTATATTTCTGTCCCCATCCTAGAATCAGCCATTTTTCCAAGGAGCCCTAGAATGGTCTTTAAAACTAAGATCTCGGTACTGAGTGTGCTTATTGCTACTGGAGAATCTTTGAATCTAGCCTTTGTTAGAGCTGGTAAATATTGTTACCACCATGTTTTTTTCTTTAAATTCTTCATTTACAACTCTGTGATAGGCAGCCTATAAGGTGTCCCCATTAAGCCTTACCTCTTGGTAGTCACACTTTTGTGTGTTTTCCTCCTTTTGAGCATAGAGTGGACCTACTGACTTGCTTCTAATGACTTGAATATAGCAAGAATCAGAGGATGTGATTTATTAAGTTACAAAATGACTGTGGCTTCCATATTGCTTGCTTGCTTTTGGTTCTTCTTTCCTTCCTCTGAGGGAAACCAATGACATATATGAGCTTCACTAAGGAGAGGCCCACATGGCAAAAAACTGAGGGAGGACTGTGGCCAACGGCCAGTAATGAACCTCCAGTCATCAGCTTGTGGGAAACTAAATCCTGCTAAAAGCCATGGAACTTGAACTTGGAAGGAGATCCTCTCTCTCTGGAGTCTTGAATTGACTGGAACCCGAGCTGGCAACTTGATTGCAGCCTTGTGAGAGAGGCAGACATTCAGCTAAGCTGCACATGGACTTCTGATGCACAGAAACTGAGAGAAAATAATTGAATATTATGTTGAGCTGATAAGTTGCATGGCAATTTGTTAGGAAGCAATAGATAACTATACAATTTTGGTCTCTTTCACAAGATCAGTGGAGCTATTTAAAATATATATGCCCAAGTCCCTACTTAGAATCTTAGGTGATTGTTCTGCATAGCTAAGTTTGAAAACAAATATAGATACAGGGCAATCCATTTGAGAATATTAGAAAAAAAATGGACTTTTGTTTTCTTTTTAATGTATTTGATCCTGGAGTTTTTGACCCAGATTAATGACTCAGCTTTCTTGACAGAATCAAGAAAACCGAAACTTTGTCTGCTTTGGAGTATTTACTGAATAAAAGGAAAAAGTGCCAGAGCTCTCTAACTTACTGTGTGGCCTTGAAAAAGTTCCTTGATTTCTCTATATCTTCAGATTCCCAGAAAAATAAGACTGTAATACCATTTTTAAGGAAAGAGATTTATTCATTTTTAGGTATATTATGCAATAGAAAGTGACCAAACTCTGAGCTTCCTTCCACGTAGAGATTTAATCCCTCTAATCCATATTGGTAGACAGATGTTATATTTTGTTGTGGAAAGAATGTGGACTTTGGAGTCAGACTGATTTCAAAATATGTCCCATGCCACTGGCTAGCTGTATGTATCCTTGGGCAAGACAGCCTCCCTGGGTCTCCTTTTCCTAACCTGCACAGTGAACTTTCTCAGAGTATTCTTGAAAACCTATTGTGTAACATTTGTCAGATGCCAAGGATAATTCACCATGGAGGACATATAATCAACTCGTCCAGTTATGATCCACTGGTTAGTAAAGTAGGGAACAGTCAAAGGTCCACAACAGCCTGTTTCTCATAATAGGTTTAATGGCAACCTCATTTGATGAAGAGAGGTTGTAGCTTGGTGGTACTTTGCCCCTGTGTTAATTCCCCACCCCACCCCCCCTGCCAGCTTTGAATACTTCTATGTAAAAAATATAACACACTGAAATGGGGCTTGAATACCTACATTAGAATTCAGGCAAACCTTGATCGCAAAATATCATTGTGTAGAGTAATGACGTGCCCACAGAGGTTTTAAGACAAGTTGAGGTTGGATGTGTGTGGGAGAGGTTGGACTACTGATCCAGTCCAGTCTAGGCCAATTGTGAAAACCAACATTATCTCACTGGAGATTAGAGTCAGAGATATAGACAGTGCCCATTGACTACAAAGCTCCTTTAATCACAATAATAGGCAGAAATTATTGATAGGTGATAAGATTTTAATCTTCTTTAGTCATATAAAGCTCAATTAAAAGAATATTTTTACTGTGCCTAGTGACAAGTTGTTAAGCAATTTTAATTTTGTCATATAATTTTGGTTGTTCTAAAAAAGAATATTTTATTCTTCTCTTTATTGTCTTATGAAGTAACAGAAAAGTTCCGTATTCAAATGTGTCAAGAGACCACAACCTTTCAGAAATTGTGACATTCCTTGTTATAAATCTAGCCCTTGATCTGGACACAGCAGCACATGCCTGTAATTCCAGAGACTGGAGAGGCTGAGACAGGAGGATCAGAAGTTTGAGGCCAGCCTCAGCAAGTTAGGAGGCCCTAAACAACTTGGTGAGATCCTGTCTCAAAATAAAAAAGGACTGTGGTTA